TTCACGTAATTAATACACATATTCACATAATTAATACAAATATTCACATAATCAAACACACATATTCACGTAATTAATACACTTATTTACATAATTGAATACACATATTCACATAATCAAATACACATATTTACACAATTAATACACATATTCACATAATTGAATAAACATACTCACACAATTAATAAACATATTCACATAATTGAATACACATATTCACGTAAGTAATACAAATATTCACATAATTGAATACACACATCCACATAATTAATACACACATTCACATAAATGAATACACATATTCACATAATCAAATACACATATTCACATAATTAATACACATATTCACATAATTAATACACATATTCACGTAATTAATACATATATTCACATAAGTAATACACATATTCACATAATTAAATACACATATTCACGTAATTAATACATATATTCACATAATTAATACACATATTCACATAATTAATACACATATTTGCATAATTAATACACATATTCGCATAATTAATACACATATTCACATGATTAATACACATATTCACATAATTAATACACATATTCGCATAATTAAATAATAAATTACATAACAAAACATATTTACATTATTGATTCTGTAGGTTGTAGTAATTATCAATCACATGCATTGTTTTATAACCATTCCAAATCATCGACAAATAAAGAGTTATTTCACTTTTCCTTCAGATTATCATATCTGGAAGCAGGCTCAACAGCAGTCGTGGTTTCATTGCTCTTGACGATGTACGTGTAATGGACGGTCTCTGCCCACTGCCACGTAAGAAAGCGTTTGTACATGGTATTCGTAACAGCTAAATGGTATTCTGAAAATGTGTGATTCACTAACTATATGAATTTTAGAGTATCATTCACAGAGCTGTGATTTCGAAGCAAATAATTGGTGTGATTGGGAGAACGGCCAAGACAATGACGTCAGCTGGGAAAGGGGCAGTGGTTCAACAGTGGCTTATTCCATTGCACCGTCTACGGATCACACTACAAGAACGAAAGCAGGTAACGGGGTGGTGGTATGAATATGAAATCTTAATTGAGAATCCCCAGACGATGAACTGAAGATGCCTCGAAACTGGTGGCATCACAAACTACTATAGCATAACATATTATTATAGTTAATACATGGCATCATATCAATACACATGTGACGTCATATTCAAAGTATGACATTATATAAAAACACGTGATGTGGTGGGATTTACAAGTGCGTGTATAGTAAATAGAGTTGTAACAGAAAATGTGCTGCGAGTATGATTAAATGGGTTCCTTGTTCTTCCAGGTCATTACCTGTATTTAGATAATAGCAAACAAACAGAAGGGGATGTCTCGTATTTGACATCGGCTAATCTACGATGGCGGGGATCGTCGTTAAAAAAATGTCTCAATATGTACTTGTATTTTCTTGGTAACACTGGTGTATACTCGAGTTACATCGAGGTGAGTTGTAGGTATAATTGGTGTAGATGCCACTGTATTCAATGATGCGATATGAGAGATTTCTACTTTCTACGTATGTGTATTTTGTGTTTTCTAAATTTGTATTGCTATTTCTTCGTTTTTTTACGATTTCATTATTGAAGCCCTATATACATAGCAGTGGAAAGTGTTGTTTTATTTTTGTATTCGGACTGGTGTCATAACCTCTTGTGATCAGAATCAGTGGGACAACCAGCTAGGTTCCAAATCTCAGCGTTCCGTGTCATTCGATTGAACATTATTCGACTTTGTCCAACCGCGGAACTCGCTCATATTTTTGAAAATAAAGATGAAATCGCTTAACAATATACAATTCCTGATTTGTTGTTTAGTTGAGCACTGAACTGTTACACAACAAAATTGAGGCAATGACCTAAATTTCCTCAAACTAAAAAACACGCCCTCTTAACTTCGCATTAATGGTGATTCGATGCACATGGGTTTATCAATTCTCGGTGTTACGTAATCGCGGCATAGCCAGGAACGTCGCAATGAGTTGACAAGCCCATGTGACTCGGAATATTCCAAGTTATTGCAATTTGATGGCACCAGTGTTGTCAGCTGTTACTGCTAACATTGTTACTTGCCAGCTTACCTACGATGGGAGTACGTACCAAATATTGGTGGATGGTCCGGTTCATCTCGACCTCGGTGATACCTGGGTTATAGCTGGTGTCCAATATTCGTTCTACGAGTTCCCGGGAGGGTCAGTTCGATTTGCTATCAAAATAGAAGCCGGTGCAAGCTCCACTGCCAGAACAATTGTTGCAGTTGACGATGCATATGTTACAGATGGACCGTGTCGATATAATAGTAAGTGATCGAGTCGCAAGGACGTCGGTGTTAATGTTACGTTGAACTCCCGTGTTATACGTCATACACTTAAAGGACGATGGTCGTCGCGCATGCGCAGCGAGTGTTCGAATTTCATGTAAACAAACTAGGAGTCTTACATCGAACATGACGCGGCGCGAAGACCACCTTCTTTTGTTATTCAGTCTTAGGTGTATGATCACAACTTGATATGTAAGCAGACACTACCCGTGCACAATTGAAGTAAAAATAATTTGTGCCAAATTCCTCATAGAATAATTGAGTTACCTCTAATTCTGTTTCACCCAAGGTATTTTTAAATCTGGAAGTTTTTTTGTCTTTAGAGTACGGTGCAGTGTGGGTAACATTACAACTGTACTTGTATCTTTCAGCTCACGTAGACTTCGAGTACGGATTCGGGTTCTTCTTCAATGTTTACGATAAGGAAGCAGACGATTTCGAATGGATCCTCGGAAATGGTCATAACAAATTTGGATTAACTGGGCCTACAGTGGACCATACATTTGGTAGAACCGAAGGTAATTACTCACTCTCCCACCTCCAAAGAATACCTGCAATGCCCACCTACACCTTTCCAATTTTAGATCTGGTGTTTTGATGGCATATAGTGCCTAATTTTGTCTATTTGATTTCACAATTGTTTGAATTATTTTCATTTGTTTTAAAAAATATATACGCAAATTCGTGCAAGACGGTTCAAAAAAGACGAAAAAGTAAAATGGCGGTTAAAATTATTAATGATGATATCGTCTGCTTGCCAGGTTCGTATGCATTGTTTGATGTCTCCGGTGGGTCATCCGGGCAGAAAGCCCGATTGGAAGCCAGGCCTTTCTTGAAAGCGAGATGTGTGGAATTCTGGTACCACATGTACGGAAATCATATAGGAAATCTCAGTGTATATATACAGAATGACGGCCGTGCTCCCGAGATATTGATATGGAGTCTCGCGGGACAACAGAATGAAGCGAACGAGTGGAAGCAAGGACGGTTCGGATACATGGATGGGCAGAGATTTATTCGAGCTGTACGTATGTCTTTAATGTAAATGGTTGTAAACATTAAAAATAATGCTTTAATGGTCCCAAGGAACACATTTAGCACGTGCAAAATAAAATGTTCATATATAAATATTGTTATCACCACAGACGATCCATGGTTCATAGACTTACATCCACAAACGTGCAAAGCAAAAGTGTCTTGCAAATAAAAGTCAAAAGACAATATTTTCTTATAAACAGCAACCGTGACGTAAAACGACCGGTTTAATGTTTTTGTCCCGAGTTCTATGTCGCTAGACCACTACGATAATTGTGGCTTCAGTCATTTTCTTCAAGGCTAACGCGACCAAATGCAGTAGGTCTTCTTTCGTAAAGTGGAATGGCGAAAACGCCACAGCGCTTTTTTTTGCTACTATTAGTAGTAGTTTGCTACAAGTCTGTGTGTATTTATTGTTATCGAATATTTGTTAATGGTTCGACGTACATGGGAAGGGGCGTTTCTGTACATTCCTCTCAAATAGCTGGGCTAGTACACACATCTGCGAAAGTATCCACTACACTGACGTCAGTCGCTACACTTTTTCTTTAAACTGCCTGTCCAAGTATTCAACAAAGCACTAACATTTTAAGCGGCGCGTACGGGAACCAAAACATGAATTTTTTTTTAGAAATATAAGTTATTGCAACAAATGGTCAAGTAATATGACGTAATAGCTCAACAACATTGTTGTAACCTTTATTCGTTTAGATCACAATCGAAGCGACCCGTGGTGATGGAGTCAGAGGCGACATTGCCATAGATGACGTCGCTATTGAGGAAGAGTATTGTGAGGGCGTAATTCCAACTGAAGCGGGTCAAGGTAGATCAAAGCCATCGGTCGCTGAGAATGCTGAATCGGACAGTAAGTACTCACACATACCTGGAACTGTATTCGACGCTTCGCCACAATGTTGCTTCGTTGGTTCTTTAACATTTTCTGAACGTAAAATGGCCAACATATTACACCTGTAAGGGGTTCCTCCATTTTAAAACTGGGGCTGCGCTGAAAGATTTTGTAGTAATACACACATGGTGTGCAATCCAACCATTATTCTTTTCATAGTACCATTGCTACTCTAGTGTCTGATTGTTATACATTTGATACATAGTATTCGTTTATATTACGTCATGTAGATGTCACTGGCATCGTCGTCGGCGTCACTGTCGCTATCGTAATCATAGCCGTTGTCCTGGGCATCAGTGTTATCGTGTACAAAAATAGAGATAGTCCAAAGCTGTAAGTATATATTATCTGATATTATCTTCTCAGCTTCTGCAAAACTATCCATTTAATTGCAGAATATCGATTAATACGGCTACGCATTGTTATAGCGGGGTTTCTTGAATCTGTCTCGTATGTTTCTAGACGTGTCTTGCTTCGGCTGTACTGCATATTGCATTCTGGTTCCGGAAGCTGCCCTCAACGACATTCAATCGAACTCAAGGTGCTCGCGGGCGTCATTCGGGCAGTTGAGTGTAATGCGTATTGGCACGGCGTCTATATGTCATTATATACCACATCTATAAATTATATGGGCTTCAATATCACTTGTCAGTGACATTTGGTCCGAGTACGTCGTCATATCGTATTCGAACAAGACGCCATCTTGATGACGTAATCGAAAAACAATATCGCGCATGCGCACGAGAAACTTCATATTGCTAATGTGTGTGTATGTGTGTTATTTAACAAACCACAGGAGCAGAGCAATTACATCAGTCACTGGTCATGTGAGATTCAATCGCAACGATGAAGACAATGTAAAGCTAGAAGAAATAGTACTGGAGTCAACATCAACATATCCGGAGTCGGAGCCGGAGCCGGAACCGGAACCGGAACCAACATAATTAGAATCATAAGATCAGTTGATATATAGAATTCGAGTAAAAATTGATGACTGAAATGAGCACTCATATAATTTATCAGACACAAGAATACGGCAAGTCAACTACTCGTTGATCAGGCTAAGTGGTGTGAAATTATAATGAGCCAGTTTGGTGTTTCATTGTTTTGTTGTAAATGCAACAATTATTTACTGGGGTTAATTTGGCTATTTCTACTGTCAATTAAATTCCGCTAAATTAAATCTACGTGAATATGTAAAATAACAATAAAACTCATTGTTTCCTTGACAATTCTTTGAATTAAAACACAGTGAATATGATCAAAACATCAAACTAGTGAAATTAAATGTAAGTGAAAATAAGTGGTTTTACAATATCTTTTTAATTCATTTAAATATTGGGCCAAAGCTTCATGATACCAAATAAAAACATATGGCACAATATGTTAACATGTCCGAGCTACATATCTACAGACGCAGTGTAATTAAAATACGATATAGGTGAAAGTAGGCTACATGATTGTATATATATATTTTGTTTTACTTGCTCTGTTTGTTTTTCTGCCGTATCTTGGTTATATCAACTTGAATAGATGAAATATGATATTGAAATTTTAAAAATTGCCTATACCTACATCGATTTTAATCGGATTTCTGCAAACGGCAGCTACACAGTAATTAGTTTTCTATAAATATATATATATATTCTCACGTGACATATCACCATGTATTTATTCATTTTGTACTACAAAATTAATTTTAATATATTAAAATATATGAAAAAATGGAAAATGTGAAATAATTATAAAAGTTATTATGTTTGTAGCACAAAAAAGCAATAAAAATGATTGATCGCTGTTTTTTTTCAAAGCTACATCTACACCTACGACCCAGATAACGTCATATCCGTGCTGTGGGGAATTGTGTAACAATATGAATTTCTTAGAAACGACTTCAGTGATACATGTATCTTAAATATTTGTTTGTGTTTGACGTGCCATATTTCTTCACTTGACAAAAAAGATAAGAGACAAATAATATAAGCTTTGATCGTACTTCTAAACAAAATATCTACAAAACAATTCAATTTTGAAGAAAACATATTAGTGTCGCAATTTACGCAATGACGGGTCATGTTTAGACTGATTTCCATGCCAACAGTGTTAGGCGTCTGAATATACTAAAGATTCGAAATTTGAATATTATATTTTATTACTAGACATCATATTTTGTTATTTTAAATTATGTTTTTGTGAAATGAATAATACGTCATAGCACACTGGTATACGTGAAAACTCCGAGTCGTGTGACATGTCGTGTTCGAAATAGTTAAAGATTGTGTAAACACAGAAATTACATTCCATGCACGTAGAGTAATATTTAGAAATCCTTAGACGTACAAATGGTGTTTGAATATTGTCACGGGCTTACTTTTTGAACAAATTGAACAATGGTTTCACGTTAAATTAACTTTGATACCAAAGAATAAAGCTCACTGCCAGGAATAAAAAGGCGGGGTTTTCTCAGAGTTATACTTTATGACAATAAACTAACCATGCCCAGATCAGAAGGTTTATGCGGAATTGTTGGTATGTATCGATACATTTAAATTATGCAGATTTGTTGAGGTATGCAATTAGAGCCATGAGATCACCGTAATGATTCATGGTTTTAAAAAATGTTTAAAATAAAATTCAGCAAATACACATTTTTCCTATATTTTACATTCAACTCGTCAAAAATCAGTGAAAATAAATTTCATACAAAACAACCAAAATCATTTTTCAGCGATAAATAATTCCAGCTAAAATAATGTATTTTACAGTACTATACTTAGTATGTGTTATTTAAAGTATAATGTTGTTAGTTCCCGCTGTATAGTTCCGTATCAACAGTGTGAAACTGAATAAAGTTTCTAGTCCCAATACTAGTATGCTGGTCATACATGGTACGAGATCGAGTGTAAACAGGGTCTAGAGGTATCGGGGGACAAGTGTTAATAGTTCTTTTATTCGGATACGTTGACAGGTTTCCGTCTAGAAAATCCAAACCACATTACTAGTTTTTTAGACAATGATGTGTTAATGTACAATACGTGTGAGACGTCGTTTAACCAGGATGTGTTCCGACAAGACGTGTTCCCGATTTATGACTTTATTCATCGATTGAAATTCACGTAAACGGTTCTTACCATAAACACATTTACACTGTTTTTCCTTGTTTTCGTTTGTTTTCTATACATATAACCTTTGACACGTCGAGTCAGAACAATGGCTGCACCGTAGAAAAAAATAATAACACTAAATTGTTCCCAGAAGGCAGTGTGCTTGACGTCACCTGCGTGGTATTGTTTTTTAATGTCCCAGTCAGGGGACACTAATCACAATAATAGTAAATCCAAATATCTGAAACCGCAAGTTTTTATCATAACTTAGTGGCTTTATTTATAAAATAAATAAACTATAAAAAAATGTATATTTGCTGAATTATATTTTCAACATTTTAAAAATAAACTATGAACTTAAAAATTATCTAAATGAAATAAATAACTTTAGCTTACATAGAATGTTATCAAAATTCAGGCTTAGTGATCACATTTTGGAAATTGAACTGGGGAGAAGGAGAAAACCAAAACTACCAACAGCAGAAAGAGTCTGTAAAAAATGTGATCAAGGCGATATTGAAGATGAAAAACATTTTCTTTTGAGCTGCTCACATTTTGAAAATGAAAGAAAAATCCTCCTGAAAAACTGCAAAATTACTTCAAGTGAAAAGAACAAAGACATAATATTCTTAAAAATTATGGAAAATAACATTGCTCTGTCTCTATATCTTAAAAATACCATATACAAATCACCGCCTGTGTAAACCCCTGGGTAGGGAGAATCTTTACCTTTACTTTATTTACTGTATTTTTATTACTTCCTGATTTTTTGTAGTTATTAGAACTTTTAAATTTGTAGTTATTTTTAGTTGCTTTATTTTACACTATTTTTACCTCACTGTATCCACAGCAGATTACAGTTACGTAATAAACTATTATTATTATTATAAATAAAATATGAAATATACTTAAAATTATATGATTATTTCTGATACATCTATATAAATGGACACGAAAACAGTTGCCACTAAATAATTAAAGAAAAAACGCCGTAGTTTTTTTTTACTGAGACAGTGTTGTCTCCGTGTTCAGTAGATTCGGGGCGGGTCAAGGTGAAAGCCATACTGTTCATACATTGAGGTGGCCGGTAGGAACACGTTCTTGAACGGTGAGTACCATCAGATTTGTAGTGTACTACGCCGTGCTGCATTGTCAGTTATTAAACAGTTTCAGAGCACGTACTGCCCTGGATACAATACATAACCTTTGATCCCCGGGTAGTTAAATACTAGCACTAAGGTGATAAGTAGGCGTTGGGTATTGGATTTTTAATGAAGTGTCGCCGACAGTTTATTAGCATCGGGGCATGCGCATTGCGATTATTTATTTTACTGTGGCTGCTTCAGAACGGGAAATCCATAACTTTTATGCAAAATAGGTTGATATAAGGACTCCGCCGTTAAATAACACAGACCAGTCCAGACGATACACTGCTGAGTTTCGACGCAAACAGGTACGTATAATCCAGGTACTTTGGTGAGTTCGGAAAACGACACTACACTACAGGTGGACGTTGCGTGTATATTTCTTAATTCGTTGTAATTTATAGTACGTATAATGAAGCGTTACGTCGGGCCATGCACGTGATTCGTCTCGCGTTACCCGCGCATCTACTCAAAGTATCACTGGTATTTTATGAACGATGTAACAATCTTGTCTCGGCACTTACATGTTTTGGTCGTTTACGTGAATACAAAACGCAATAGAAAACGTCTCTGCGTTGGCGTCAGTATTGTCACGATGGTTTTAACACCTTGCACAGTTGTGCTCACGACTGAACCAACGAAATCAACCCGTCCACCACCACAGTGTGTACTTTTGTCAGATTAAACATTTTAAAACCACTATAGTTTATTCGACGTGTATAGCTCTCTGGAAGGTACCTTCATAACACTCGCCTTTGAGTTAATGGGTCGCCATTGTTGTAAAGCTCCTTGCTGCTACGCAACAGCAGACATAATGAATAAATTGTAATTTGATACGTGAGGCACTTGAATAGAAGATTTGCAGCAATAATGTCGAACAACCTGATCCTGCGGTGACCGTTGTCCATAGAACCGCCTAAATATTATCAGAGACGACCTTTAAAGTCTACGTGCCTGTCCAAAGTGGTTACATATCAGGGTAGTTATGTATGGCGAGTTCACAGCACGCCTTCTCGTCAGCCTGCTTTGATCGATCCATTGTGTGTTTTGTTTATAACATTGATTACTGCCAACAAACACATTTATCAGATAAGAATGGGAGCGGAGTCGGGTAAACCGGGGAATAAAACACCGTTCATTGTGTTCAGTGTGTTGCGGGTCAAGTTCGGGCAACAAGTATGCGTGGTTTCTATGACAAAACAAATACCGCTTTCGATACAGTGACAGCGTATGACGTCCTGGGATTTCCACGGGTTTACATTACTGTAACCACAGTTTTTGAAGGGACTGTGCTGTAACCAACCTAGAGTTCGTGGCGTCAGTGTATTGACTTCTCCTCAATAAGGCCATAGAGCTCTGCTTTACATCCATGCTAAGGTTTCGTGTATACAGTGACTGTGTGTGTGTGTGTCTATCTCTGTATAAATATAGCTATATATTACTAGTATATGTTGTTGCTATGGTGATCCCCGTGATGATCGCGCATTAACGGAATCGGTCATTACGTTATTATATTGGATAGAAAGTAATAACTTGTTTAATTATTTAATATTATAAGTCATGCAATGCCGTACTGACTGGCAAAATGCCAACAGACAGCAGACGACAGATTCGCCTGAACCTGTTTGTACCTGGCGATCGTTAACAGCAACATAAAAGGCATACAATACACGGCAGACAAAACGAAAAAACTATCATAAGTATGTTAAGCTTTGAATATTTACGCTTATTAAATTCTCAAAAAACGCATCAATTGTATTTTTTATTAAAAACACAATACCTCGACTTGACGCCGGTATGTGTACACGGTAGATAAAAGCCAATTAGCCATGGCTTCGAATTTCCTTTGCCTGTCGACGTGATCGTATCACTAAACAACAATAAAACACCATTGAACATGAGCACTATGGTCCCATTTGTCGATTGACGGTCAATTGCAAACCCCCATACAGACAGTCTCATTCTTTGTGGTCTTTCATGTTTATTATTGTATTAAAGTTAAATCAATCGTAAGAAAAAGAACCACTTGGCATGTACTGGTACGGAAATTCCAACGTTGTAGCCATGGTGACAACAGAATCTGTGACAGTTCAATATATTTAGTGTATGTAAATGTAATGTACATTGTAACTTGTTAATTAGTTTCCAGTCGTTGAATTCCGACTCCTGATTCAAGCCAAAGCTAATGACTGACGATATGATTGGAAGAGTGTCTAGTTGTCACCGTTAAAGCTCGCTATTTTCCAGTAAAAAGAACGTAAACACCTCAAACTATGCAATTTTGTAGTTGTTCCCCGAGAGAAACCCCACGAGTCGGCTCTGTCAAATGACGTTTCTCCACGTTGTATCGTCACGAAATATCGTGCGAATTCAGTTGAGAAACAATCAGTGTTGTCACCGGCACCGTGTTGATGTGTTAGACGTCAAATAAAAATACAGAAACTCGGTAATTCGCTTATCATATTTAATACGGACTTGAAAACATGCATGGCTCCTTTGTAACGATATAATCGATATATCTAATGATATAATCCATAACGTATCGAATAATACACATACAATAATATATAAACATATGAATACCATGACAACACAAGGTGAACAATATGACAATTTGAGAAATGTGATTCCTAATACTAAAATTAAATCGAAACCATAGAAATTTACGAGTTTACAACTGTTCTGTATATCCGACGTGTAATGTAACACATATTTCTGTTACAGTCACAAGATGGCGAAGGTAATCACTGTGTTCGGAGCGACAGGTGCCCAGGGAGGGTCCGTAGCCAGGGCTTTGCTAAAAGACACCCAGTACAAAGTACGTGCGGTAACCAGGGACATCAACTCGGCCGCAGCTCGAACTCTGGCCTCGGCGGGAGCCGAGGTCGTGAAAGCAGACTACAGTAACAGAGACAGCCTGGTTGCCGCGCTGCAAGGATCGTACGGATGCTTTGTAGTGACTGTCTCAAATTTTGGGGTTCCCAATTACGAGGAACTGGAAGTGAAACAGGGACAAAACATCGCTGACGCGTGTTCAATTTCAAAGACGGAACACGTGGTATTCAGCGTAAAGCAGCACGTGCGTAAGGTGCTTGGGATTGTTGCCAGACACTGCGACGCCAAGGCCAGAATAGAAGACTATATGAATGATCTTGATTTGCCACTGACATCTATCATGGTACCGTTCACGTTTGAAAGTCTATTGTCAACTTTTAAGCCTAGGAAATTTGATTTTCAGCGTTACAAATTGGGTATGTCCGTTTTTATTGTTTCACTTTCATAAAGATAGTAAATTCTAATTGGTATGCCGTGGAATATGACGTCATTATTATTGTGTGTATAATTCAGTATTCATTAATTATGATTTTCAAAAGAGTTCACCATACAGTACACTATATACCACTTTACACGCAATATACACTATTGTGCAACCATTATATACCACTTTACAATCACCATATACTAGTACCTCTCCACTGTTATATACAAATCTACCCTAATTAGACAGCACTCTACAACTTCTATATACCACACCAGTTGACTGTTAATCATTGTATATGATTTATTTACCAGATATTCCGATGGGAGAGGTACCACTAGATGGAATTAGTGTCGAGCAACTTGGAGACTGTGTCAAAAGTATTTTCGACAATCGTACTTTATATTTACATAAGACGCTATCCATCACTGGTGATAAACTCACTGTCAAGGAGTATGGCGCCATCTTGAGTCGACACATCCCGCCTTTCATCTTCCAGGACGCACAGGTAATGCTCCAATTTGTAGTTCACTATTTTAAAATGCCCGGATGTGTATTTCAAGTACCCGAATGTGTGTTGTAAGTACCCGGATGTGTGTTTCAAGTACCCGGATGTGTGACGTGTACGTTCAAAGTTCACTATTCTGATTGTGTCAATGAATATTTAAATTATCGCATTACAATGTGGTGCATACCAAACACACAAACATAGTTTAACGCAAAGTGTCAACTCACAACAAAGTAGAAGATTAATCAAAGCGGGAGGGTCGTAACCTGTGCACGCGCGGGAATGGAGTTCCAAGCGACGATAACAACACACATTAAAAAACGCAAAGGATCATGGGTAGACGCTTGTTTGTAAACTATGATACGCTATGCCCATCTGACGCATGCGCAGGTGACGACTCCCTCGCTTTAACTACAGTAATGAAACATTAGTGTGACACTATGAAGCATATCAGCTTATCATAGACTAAACAAATTATGTTTATAACATCATCATTTCCCACTTCGCAAAAATAAGATATTATGAAAGCATGCACCCTGCCCTCATTTGTTCACACATTTCATTATGAGAGTACTGGGGGGGGGGGTCTTATCCCTCGAACATTCATAACCACAATGTAACTAGCTTTAAAAGACACACAAAGCCCCCTAACCCAGTGACAAATCTAACCTAATTTAAGCATGCATGGTAAAAGGACTCTACCTTAATGAGATTCGCTCAAATTCATATTCTGAGGGTTATTGCTCATTATCCTGCCACAGTCAGTTGTATGGTGAATATATCAGACGGGGTTTGTTTCTCGCAGGTTTCCAAAGTGAGAATGCAAACTTGACTGAAGATCAATGATAAAAAAAATATATATATAGTTTCGATATAAGGCAAATTATAATCGTAATGATTTCTTTCTTTCATGAGATTTTGTAAGCGATTTCTGTGTTTCTGTTATCATTGGCTTCCGCTGAGCTGGAGATTAAGTGTTACACACACACAAAATGTAGACATCAGCTGCACTGCTATATAAACAGTACTGTTTGTCGTAATCTAAGCACGACGATAACCCTCCCATGAGAAGCATAATTTACATGCACCAGCGCGAGCAGAACGGATTTGACAAGAGGGGGGGGGGGGGCTAGACCCGATTATATCTTCCTTACTCGTAAACTTATTTCCAATACGGCAATGACGTCAATGTAAACCCTGCTTCCTCTGAGCGGAACTCTGGCATTCGTCCATTGGGGAGTGCCACATGTACATATGGTGATAATGTTCAGCACAAGCTTCAGCACAAGGGTTCATGTCTGTTTGGACCCCATTGTTTTTGTTCAAGTGTTTCTTCTTCTTCCGCCGTTTCTTTGTCGTCGGCTTAGAAACTAGAATTTGATCACCGTTGGCCAAAATGTTGAGAATCATGATGATGAATGCTTTAACCGGTCACTTGTAGCATGTATGTCCAAAGCGTCTTCTGAGAAAAATAAGAAATATATATTTCAGTGGGTACATATTATGGCATATTCTGCTTCAATATTGGACTCTACAAAGATGTTCTACAGGTCATATATATACTTAGGCTATAATGACCTATAAGCATTGCAGAGTTTAACTAGCTCTCCCCGTATATTTCAGTATAATCTCTGTACACACACCACTAAACAAACAAAAATACAAATGCGACATAATATTTTAAATGTTAAGTGTGTTCATTTTGGGTTTCTTAACTTGAACTTTATATGCCCTCTTTCAGATAACAAATGATGAGTTTCGACAGTGTGGCCGACTAGCCGCAGAGGACTATGGGAACATGTTTGAATTCTTTCAACGAGTTGACCAACGCCATAGCATGAAATTGACAAAGACATTGAACCCTAACACCAAGTCATTTGCACAATGGGTCATCGAGAACAAACAGCTCATCATGTCAAGTTTGGATTGAAACTAGAAGTGTTTTTATTGTGCCTTTAAACGAAGACTAATCTAAAAAAATAGCCGCTGGGAGCGTACTTACGCAAAGAAAAAAAATTAGAGACGCCTGGGTGGGAACAACTGTGAAAAATGGGGACAATTTCGCACAACTGCGATTATATTGAAATTGAATAGTGAACTCTTCGATATATGTAATGATGTAGATCATGTGACTGTTAGACGTAGCGATTCGCGCCCCCCCTCCACCGCGTCACAATATTCAAGTTGTGTTTCAGTGCCGATATCACATAACAGCGAGTTATTGTTGAGGTCGCTGTGACCTGATGTTAACGAGTTTCACTTCCGTCTTTTGTTTTCTGCCAGATACAGTACCATTGTGACAGATATTCACAATAATTTTATTTCTATGTGTGCAATTTCCATTTTGGATTTTTTTCTTCTGTTTGTTATACCAGTTTACAGATTAAATCATCATTTCCGTCCATTTATGAATAACCGCATCAGTGACAAACTAGTCGTGACCGAGATGACGTAGAGGTTTATACTAATAAACTGTCTAAGTCCGTAGCTCCGTGTTTGTGTCATAAGTATGTTACAATCTGGACGCCATACTGCTCCGTTTATGTAATAAATCCGCTTTTCCCCGTAAGTCACGCCCTCCAGCGACGAAAGGCTGTTGTGACGTAAATAGGTGATTGGATAATTCATCGATCCTTTAATAACGAATGATATTGAGAGATTCCTATACTAGTATTTTAGTTATAAATACCACTTCACAACCAAACAAAGGTTTGAGCCACATTGCCTTCAGCCATCGCTAGCGGGCGCTACTCACAGGAAAAAGGTATTACAACGTATCCAATGTATGTTTTACATTTTACATGTATTTCTAGGCGTGTTATTCTTGATATAGCTATAAATGAACTATATTTTAAAATCTCTGTATTTTTTTCTGTATATAAAGATCGGTTTACACACTCATATTACTTTGATCAGAGATATGTTAAATGCAAATGAACAAATTATCAAATCCGACTTCAAATGTTTGGTACCGGCATATGGTAGTGATATACGATAAAAAATGCGAATTTAACAAAAAGTGGTAGCGCTACGTATCTTTCCGCACAGTGACATTTTGGTGTGTGTGTGTGTGTTTCATGCTATTGTCTGAGACTTTCCCAACGTTATAATAGTGTTCTGAATCAACGTTTAAGACTTTCAATGCGAGTTTATCGTCTTCGTATATTACTTTTTAGACATACCTGAACGTATTTCAACTTTTCAGACAACTTGTCCGCCACTGAAAGCAGCCTCTTCTCGCCTTCAAAGTTCCCGTGTATGAAAACTACATTTTATACGTTTCAATCAATTTTCCCGCCTTGTGAAGCAACTTTCGGTAGTGCAGACGACATTCCTGTTTTCGCAAACTACTATTCAGGCTTTTCAGACTTCTTTCCCGCCTTTCAAAAACATCCTTATGTGTCTTCTACTACTTTTCGAACCTTGCTGACAACCACAAACTAATGCTACGTTCTCCGCTTTGCAGACATGTCTGTCTTTTCAGACTTTGCAGACATTCTTTCCTGCCTTCGGAAGCAACTATTCGGACTTTGCAGACGACATTCCCGTCTACTCAAAGTCATTTCGGACATAACTGAAAACTTTACGACCAATGACAGCAACTTTCCATGATTAGAAAATACAGAATTTTCAGACTCCTCAGACGTTTTTCCTCCCGAAGAAACGACTTTTTCCGTGTCATCTAACTACTAATTTAAATGTTTCAGACAGTTTCACGTGCAAAGCAACTTTCCCGGCATTACACAGGGCATTCATGTCCCAATTACAGACTACAGTTAATTTTTCTACCTTCCAAAGAAATTTTCCTGCCTTCACAAGTTTTTTTTAGACTTTTCAGAAATCTTTCACATCATCAAAAGTTGATTTCTAGTTTCAAGAAGAATCTCCTGACGTCTCACATTTTTGTATGGTGGGTACCGTGTGGTTAGATATATTTTAGCAAAACAGCGCCATCTATCATCAGTTGGCAGTTACTCACTCTGGGCACTTGGTAATTTTTAAGTTGGGATACCAACCAGGAGTATACACCAACCAAATACATTGGATTGTTGGAATTATCTAAAATTGAATAATTGTTATTAACACGAAACTATAAATTATAATTTCGACCTGCCCTTATCAACTGCACCTGGAGTTTGTACTGACCAATGACATTTGACTGATCATGTCGATATTAACACATTTGTATGTACACGTGTTTACATATAAACTTGGTGTTTCCTGAAATTATATGAAGTGAATAATGGTCTCTTAAATTAACAACTCACAACAGTCACAACTTTGTATCTAAATATCTGGATATTGCAATATTGCAGATTTTTTCCGCTGAGAATAAAGACTTTAAAATATGGTTATAAATGTATGTACATGAACCAATGTTATCGAGCCTGAGAAACCTACCTCGTTTATATGTAGACTGTTATCTGACTACACTCTGAAAAGATTCACAAGCTCTCAGCTATTGTAGTTGAATATACGTATATATACGTAAATATAAACGGTATTCTAATTATGCCTTTAGCATTGTACTCCTCTGCCAATCAGAATGCTCCATTGCAGCACTTTATATGCACTAAATGTCTAGTTTTCTCAAGTCAAATCGTTTTGTTTCATAAATTGTCCCACGTCATTTTTATAATAAATGTCTTGAAGAATTGATTACAGGATTAACTAAATACTTCCAAACATAGTAGATTTTACATGTGATAAATATCAATATCTGGGTCTGGGTGTGCATTATAAGTCAGATAAAGCCCTTGTACACTTCTGGATAAAGTTTTTCTTTTTTCTAAGTTTGTACTTCATATTTTAGTAGAGTCCTTGTAGGATACACATGATATATATGTTGAATTATTTGTAACAAAATGACATAATTAACAATGTGCTTGCAGGTTAGTATAGTGTGGAGTGATTGTGTTTTGTGTACAAGTCAGTAACTGTAATCTTTGTGGTTTATAAATGTGTTAACACAATAAAACAATTCAAGTCGCAATACTTCGGAATAACAAAAAAATCAACACTGTATTTTTATTTACATAATATAAAATGATTTTGATGTAAAAACTTTATACATGGAATGAAAATACATGTGAACTAATAAAGTTGTCATTTTATACAGCAGAAAAAATAATACACAATTGAACCTGAAATTACCGGGGTATACATAAACTATGTACATTTTTACCAGTGCCATATTTGATACATAACAAGTCATATCATGTCAGTTTAAAATCTTGATGCTAAAATACCTTTGCAATGTTATACTGTAAAACCTGTTAAAGGCAACACAGTGTAAACTTGAAAGCTGCTCAAATTGAACAGTAAACGCCAGTCTTCATAGAGTTGCCTGTATGGAAGACCTTTATAAGCCAAAAAACTTGTTGGTGCATTTTGTGTGGGTGTTGTTGTCCTAGCAATGACTTCCCATATTTTAACTTGGTATTATAACAATGTTGAACTTCAAATCTGTGTATTTGTTTTTTTGAAAACAATTTCATTTCCAGAAAGTATTAGGATGTTTGACTTATAGAGTCCATTCTACAGCTGTTTTTAATAAAGCATGATAAAAAGACTGCGTAAGATTTACTCCAGTTTTGAAATCAATTTGAGTTAAAAATAACATTTTTGTGTCAAATGCTATTCCTCTACTGGGGGTGCCCTGTTCATGTGATACTTGCTGAAATGTTACATCATGGAAAGCGATGTTCAAGTCTGTCTTGATAGCAAAAGTACTCAGTGATATGGATATCCATTGTTAGAAATTCAGTAGACATTTGCAGTTTGTAAGCTATTTTGAAATTAGTTTTTAAAAAAGATGCATGTATTAAAAAAGATGCATGTATGTGTATTATTAGATTTTAATACATCCATGTACAATTTTATATATTCCTCGTTTCACTGACAAACATTTTTAATCTAAAAACCAGTGAATATGATCAAATATCAAAATAATGAAATCAAATACGAATGAAATTTTATGATTTTACAATATTTCACTAAATTAGTAGAAGCAATGCATCATGCATTAACATTTATAAATCTTCAGAGGGACTCCTGAATGCAACATAAATTGGTATGTACAACTTTTTTTTTTTAAAAACAGAAAAATTAATAGTCAAATACTTTAAAATAGTTTAGATTAAGGTTTATGCTTGCACAGAATACATATTCTCCAACACAAAAACACAAAACTGGTTGAATGTGAACAGCACATGGAGGGAATTTTGAAAACATAATTACTGGTACCGACAAAACTAAATAAACACTAAAACTGTAAATATTGGAGGGGGGGGGTAGAAAATTCAATCTCTGATCTTGCTGGTCTTGTGCCTTCATGTAACAGTATGACAGAATCCACTTAACCTGAGTAATGTTGCATGGACAGACAGGCGTATGCATCAATGTCTGAATATTTCTAGTGTTTGCACATGTTAAATAAAGTCTATGAAAGTAGATCTCCATTTTTTGCATCACAAATGAAGCTCTTTAATCAAGTTGAGACATGTAAGTTGTGTTCTTAACTTGCAAATTTGCCATTAGTAGAAACAGTAAATAGACAAAAATACTGTAGACCGCTTAATTTCCACTGCTAGAAATGTTGTGATTTTCAAGATTTCATGGAATTCATGAAAGAAAAATGTAATTATAGTCAATACATGTGTGGACCCCGAAGAAATTTTCACTGTACAAAATTCTCAGACATTCATTAAAATTAAAGTGGTGTTTAATTTAATTAGGACTCGCTGCATACAGAAATCTGAATGAAATCCATTCAAAAAAATTTCACAAATTAGGATTACATGTGTAAACAAAATCAACAACAGCTTTGAAGCATATTTTGCTGGTTTCTGGATAACCAACATCAACAAAATAGTTTTCAAAGTGAATTGACCAAACTCGCTTTTAGTACGCAAGAATCTGCGTAACAACGAAACGATAAGTACTATACTAATGATATGTTATTACGAGAACACTCAATGTAGATAACTTTTAGGGAACATGAATGAACTCAAATGTTGCCAAGTTAATATATAGGAGAAGCAACTGCTAATTGAGTCCAACAAATGTAATGACAATAATTAAACTGAGTTTGTCTAAATTAAACAAAGTTTGCTACTCAGTCAAATTTTGGATGGCATCAATTTTATTTATTATAAAAGTCTGCTCTCTGCACACAATATTTATGGTCTGTTTGGGATTTTGGACTGTCTAACAATGAATGGAATCTCGCCTCAATGTGCTACTACTTTCTTTCCTTTCACCAGCACAGGTCCTAAACTCCGGTCTTTTACTTTGAATTCCTGCACTAATGTAGCACGCGTATCGGATGGAACTTGGGACAGTAGCTGATCAGCATAAAATACTGACTGAAAAATAAAAATCATGGATCATAGGTTACAATCTAAGTGTTCATAAAGAAAGATACGCAAAACACTCCAATGGGAACACATATTCTCAGCAGTCAATATTGTGTAATGAGAGCTAGAAATCTATAGACCACTGACTTGACACAGCAGTGAGAATTTAAAATGTATTTCACACATATACATGTATGTATTTTTAACAAACACAATTATCACGTTTAATAATAAGGGCTAGTGTAGTCACTTGATTTTTCCTAAAAAGGTGCCAAAGGTCTGCCTCACGCTTTACTAAATTACTATGACTAAGAAAAGTTATGCTATAAACATAACAAAAGACATGAGTTGTGATTAAATAATAATTTTTTGCACAATAAAGACGTTTGCCGATCAATAAAAATCAACTGATTACACCAGTAAAAGACGTACCAAAAAAAGTAGCTTCACACTTCATAAAGGACGGTGGTCATTGCGCAGTGTGTGTTCAAATTTAAATGTATTTTACATGCATCGTATTCGTCACTATCGGCCCCATATTGAACAACACATGGCGTGACAACAATCTTCCTTTATGAAATACTGTGAAATACTTTAATTTCGCTTGGAATTAATTTTCTCTATTTTCACTGAATCATTCCTTCAGCGAATATACCTATTTTCCTACATCTTAGATTCAACTGGTCAAAAATCCATAAATAAATAAATTCCATACAAAACACCTAACAGCGAAAATTAATTCCAGCTAAAATAAAGTAGTTTACAGTAATAAAAGTAGTATAATCTACTGGTTCAATCTTATAGGAAAGTCAACTGTGCATACCTTAGGCCCACTGGCAGTCTGTACCCCAACAGACCTAGTCTTGACTCCACGAAGCCTATTCAGTTTGCTAGTTGGTGATAATGCCCTAGTCGTATTTGATGACAGTACAATATCCCTAGGTCTGGGTACGAGTCCTAGATCACCTAGCTTATAATGTGGAAGAGATCCCTGACCACGGGCGATGGGTGATAATGGAGCTGATCTGTAAAGTTATCAAAGAACAAAAATTTAACAACAATTGTAAACTGTTTTCATTTCACAATATTATCACAGAAACTCACCAAAAATAATTTTTTCGTATAATATCTGTGTAAATAGTGTAAAAATTAAATTGTGTATCTTGGTTTTTTAAATGTTGCAGGTGATTCACAATAACCTACACCTAAAAAGAACCCTCAGTTCGCTTCTCTGTTCAATGTACAATTAACTACAAATGCACTAGTCTCTACGCATGCGATAATTTTTACTCTCATTTGATTTTTCCTTTTTTTTTTCATCATATCAGAATTTGTTATGTGCTTATACTTTAGATTCATGCATTTTTATCTTGCCCCAAATGAACGTGTACATGAAGGAAATGAACAAATAGCCATCTGTGACACACAATTACATGATGTGAAACTTAAGTGACATCCATTTAAACTCTATCCTCTCAGACTTTTGGAATTTATGTGTGATAATTTGTAGCTGCTTACCCTCGTTTAATTCCCCTTCCACTACCAGGCATTGGACTAGCACTCTTCCTGTATGTTGGCTCTTTAACTATTCTAAAATCTGAAGGTGGCGGTCCCACACCTATGGCTGCTGCACTGTTCAATATCACTAGCAGATTCTCCAGCATACTGTCCCTAGCTGATATGTCATCATAATCAGGATCAGCTGACTCCTCTTCTGCGTCGTTAGACTGGAAATGAAAGTTATCCGTAATGTAAATACATCATGTGAGGTTTCAATAAACATCTGCAAACAGTTAAATTAATGTACTCTATGTGGGCACAATTCATCATAAAATGATTTCCCTTAATCTAGTATTGTACTGATAACATCCATTGACCCATGTCCAAAATCTCAGAATACACAAGTGCAACCAAACTACGGTATGTCTCAAGAAACTGCATTCATAAATCTGAGTAAACCTTGATGAACAACTTGACTTCTTTGTTAATTCAGGTCTTTGTATATTACCAGGACCTGAGTTTGTTTCAGTATCACCACTATAATTCTCAACAAAATGTAGCCCTGAGACCCCTTTACAGTTTCCAGTGAGATTTGTAATGACAACTGAAGCTATATTTAGACCACATGTGTCAACGTGCCTGGCCAAGATTCATAAACAGTAACTGCAAAGTGTTTCCACTGATCTTTAACTTTGTCACCCAGTATTTCAGTGATGGCTTTTTATAATGGAATGCAATTTTTACAGTTTAAAGATATAATATACAACAACATTTCTGACCATTTTTTTCAAAATTTCAGCATTAATTTTTCATAAAACCAAACAAAATCTATTTCTGTCACTGATTCAGATCAATGAAAACCCCAGCATTACAATCTAAGCTAATAATTTATTCTGAGCATGCTCAGTTGTTCTCTCAGTGTTGTAGGGAGAGGTAATTTTGGATGAAAATCATGAAAAAGACCCACTTAGAATTTTCAGATCTGGAAAAAAAATTATGTGCATATTCGACAGAGACTTGTTCATCAACCTGCCAAGTTTCATCAATATCTGCTGCACAATTTCTGAGAAAATGTTAGAGATGTCACGGACGGAAACAGGAAATAAGAAACTATACTCAAAATATGTAAAATGATATACCGTTATTATTGAGGGAAATATTAGGTGTTGGTTAGAAATTATCTCATATTACTCAATTATTTTTTCTTAAATCTCTAAGAGTGTAACTTTCTTGGTATCACTTACTGTAAGTATGATTTTCAGCGAGTGTGCAGCCTCTTGGAGAATTTTATCCAACTTTTGTTTATTCTTTTCTATCTCTTCCTTCGTCATGACTGTCTTCTCAAGAAGTTCCTCCTGCTGTTCATACTCCTGACTAATCTTCCCAAGCTCCTCTCGTAAGGATTCTGATTGTTGCCGTAGCAACATTAGCTCAGTCTCAAGTTCTTGGTATTCCTGTTCCCTTATGTCATATTCTGCTAGCATGGCTTCTTGTTGTTTGGCTTTCTCAGTCAGCATTCTGATGACCTATAGTATAACAATATACACTGTTACAAACATTGACACGCTATGGTCATCTGACGTATGCGCAGGTGACGCATCCCCCGCTTTAATATAAACAAAATAATGTATCTGCCTTTACAAGGGATGGAAAATGTGTTGAGCAAGTATTATAAAATACATGTTGTATTATCTATTCCTGTTTATATTGGCAAAACAAAAACATGGATGAAGGCAAAAAACAATTTCACATGCAGTTATATATCAGTTGTTGTGGAGAAAATATAGAGAAATTCCAAGTACACATGCAGTTAGCGCAATGTCTCAGTGTAACTCTGTGTTTATTTTTAGATCGTGAATAAAAAAAATTCCCAAAACAAAAATGTTTATATATTTGTGATAGGCTCATAGTATTACACCTAGACACCAATGGATAGTATGTGATATAGAAAATGGTAGTAAGTAATCATAGTCTTTTGTAATTATTACATATAGCCAGATTTTCCAGGCAAAGTAATCATTTCTAAATAATAGATATGAATATTACATATATATAAATATAATTATTATATTTGATGAAAGGCTATTGTCTGATTCTTCTGGTTATATTAAATTATTAACAAGAACTTCAATTACCTACTACATGTACTATTTTTTATATATATTGGTTCTAGCAGCTTTCACCATTTTTTCAATTTTTTCGCTGTTCATTTAATTGTTACCTGTAGGGTTTACACTGAACCCTAACAATAAATCTGGTTCATGTATACTCTGGACAAATTGTTCGATTGCGAATGACGCTGTATACTATTTGATATTTAATTTTATAAAATGTTGGTACTTGACAGATTAGTTCTATGTGTAAAATAGTGTGAAGAATTTTATTGTAGGTTGAGACCTTGATGGAATTACAGTGAATAATAAAATTTCATAAAAATTTCAAGCACCAGAGATTGTTAACATACTGTGAAATATGTTATTTTTGCTTGGAATTAATAATTTTCGCTATTTTCGCTGAAGGAATAATTCCTGTGAAAATAAAATCCAGCGAATATACATATTTTCCTATGAATTACATTCAACTCATCAAAAGTCAGTGAAAATAAATTGCATACAAAGCACCTGAAAAGTCTTTTGAGTTAAAATAAATGATCTTACATTATGTAAGATTACTCCAAATAAAGTAAGAAAAAAAAACATCAAATCGAGTGAGAAACAAAGAGAAATTAAAGAAGATGATATGTCACTTTGTCTTGTCACACAAAAATTAAGACATAATTACTGTTAGGAATCATTTAAATACAAACCTTTTGGTTACTATGGTTTTTCTTGGCAAGTTCTTTCTCATTTACTTCCAGCATATCAATATGCTGTCTACTTTTCCTCTCTTTAGCTTTGAGTTCATCATTTTCTTGAATCAACTCCAAGGTCTTGTCGGACATTTTGGCCAGTTGTGCATTGATACTGACGTTCTCTCGTATCGTTCTTTTTGTCGTGTCAGCCATCTGTTTATTTGACACCTTTCGAAACTCTGCGGCAACTTGGTTGACCCTTTGCACCATTTCTTTCTTTAACCTTAAAACCAGGGAAGTATAGGAAAAATTCAAGTACATGACGTTTTATGGGAGAGAAAATCTCATTGGAAACAGTAAATTCACAAATAATTTCGTGATAAATTATAACAAATATTAGAATCTGTCTCTTTAACCCTGCTCAACTCTTTGTCACCTTTCACAACAACAACAAATGCTTGATATTTTTCCAAAAAATGTTTTTGATCTGTGCCAATGGAGAAATTAAATCCATTTGGTCTAAAAATAAACAAAGCAATGACAGAAAAATTTTAAAATGCTGCACCAAACTTGTTTTTAGAGAACTAGATTAAAATTTTACCATGCAAACAATGAATATGCATCATATGGCGAAATATTAAAATATATTTAAAAACTTAAATGTATATACAAATATTGTAGTTGGAAAACTGGCCAAATAAAAACATAAGATTTTTTGAAACAAATAAAATTAGAAGCCTGTTTAATTATCATTGTTTTATTTATTCAAGCATATTTAAGCAGGACTGTTCATTAATCATTCATTTTTTAAAATTAAGTTCTATGATCTATTTATGAATGTATCACTTTGGCTTCTACTCACCTGTCTTTGTCTACAACAGCTTTCCTTTCTAAGTCATATATCACATCTTTATGTTCTCTTTTCTGCTGTTCTAATTCTTCTTCCATCTGCGCAAATTTTGCCATCAAGTCCTCTTTCTGGACTTTAAATTCTTCAAGTGAAGCTAGTTTGCCACCTGAAATGGAGTTTGGAAACTTTGTTACATAAAGCACTTAGAGTGACACAAAGAACAGACATTAGTCATGGATACAGAAATGCACAGAAACCAAAATTGTCATTTATTGCATATCATTCAAATATTGAAAATATTGAAACATACATCTAGCAGCAAAAACAATGTAATTTCTTGTTTTGTAAAACTTTGTACTACATTTGTCTCAAACTGTATCTGTACTTGTTCTGCCATTCAATGTGTCCTTTATATGGGGAAAACTATGTCACTAACATTGAACACATTCAAAGTACTGTCAAATATTTTATTTTCACTTGGAATTAATTTTCACTATTTTCACTGAAGGAGTGATTCAGCAAAAATAAAATCCAGTGAATATACCAATATTTTACATTCAACTTGCCAAAAATCAGTGAAAATAAACTCCATACAAATATTTTACAGTAATTGACTTCACAGTTTGTTTACATTAGATGCAGTAACACACGTGATAGAAATCTGTCAATGAATGCAAAACATTTCTCTTTGTCACTTTTTACCTGTAATCTCTCATTAAATTATTAATACAAGCAAAAAAAAAAGATGTATAACTTTATAAGGTTACGTATTGGTTAATACAACTATCATACTGCCCGACTCATGACTGTGATATCAGGACTTGGTCATTTACATAACCTTAAACCACATAATTTACTGTTAGAGTAAATACAGTAACTACATGTATACAGGGCCATTGCCAGATACACTGTAACCTCAATATAATGAACACCTTTATAATGAATTTCCTGATATAATGAACACATAACATATCTCAAATTAAGGTGCGTTTTCGAGTAGAAATCAGCAAATGAAAAAATGGGGATGATAGACAGTGAAAGTGCTTCGTTAGTTTTTAAAAAATGGATAAATCAAACTAATAGGCGCTAACAATAATTCCCAATTTTCAATATGATAGATTTAGTTCATGTATGTTGTAAGTTGGAGATGAAACACTTGCACAGCATGAACTCTGAGATCGAAATGAGGGAATGGCAATCTCACCTAAAATCATATTTTCTGATGTGAGCTGATCCTTGGTTTCCTGGAATTCTGTCCTAAGTTGCGTAAGCTGATGCTCGTATGCATCCTTCTCAGCATCCTTCGCCTGCTGAAGACCAACAAGTCTATCATTTAAGTCTGCAATTTCGTCACTACGCTGCTCCAGCTGTTTCTTAAGGAATGTAACAATTTCTTTCTTATCATGGGCCATCTGATCATACTGGGCTTTGAATTTAGTGCTCCCAACTTCCAACTCGTCACATTTTTTCTGGTATCTGAAGTAAATAAAAACAAAAAACAAAAATGAAATGTGTATTTGCTATTACATTACATTGGTGTGTTGTAATTGTCTTGCCGTGAAGACGCCATTTTGAATGATGCATGATAGTGCTGCAATAATTGGCGGACACAGTTCTGAGGTAGAAATTAAGCTTATGGGATTGTCAAAGGTTCATACTGGTAGATATATACATGTAATAACTGTGTTGCCTAGAAATACTGTGGTCAGCCTTGGGATATTATGGTCAGTCAACAGTCAGCTTATAAAGCTTAGTCTGAGGATATTGTGGTCAGTCTAGGGATACTGCCTGCCCCACAGTTAGCCTACTAGAAGTATTTTCCAATGTTTGGATAACAGATATAATGCCCAACCTGTGGATACTGTGGTCAGCCAGGTGATATTGCCCAATATCCAGCCTGTTGTCAAACATCTTAGGCAAAGCGAGACAACAGTTTCCAATAAAAGTCACAAATACATTTGGTAATGTATTTAATAAATGAATGAAATGGAATTTATATATAAATTGTAATCAAGAACATTTATATTTCAATGATTTGTATGGAATGTAATGTCACTATGTGCATGTATACATGTATGTTATATTTATATGATTAATAACCACACTCTAATTTAAAAAAATAAAATAATAAAAATGAAGCAGATTGTGATTATAAATCATTATTTTCACACTAATTTTCTATTTATTGTGCATTTCTATGTTCAAATTATTTACGAGGTATAAATAATATTATATTTTCATTTTACTAATATTTATTTATGTACATATATGATAAAAAGTTCAGAGGGATAATCAAACATAAAGTGCATATATACATAATATGGATGATTTTATGAAATTACATATAAACACAAACGACATCCCATATACAGAATAGTGACATTGGACATACGTATCACGGTATGTAAAAAAGAAGGAGTTGAAAAAACAACAACAAACCTGGCCAATCTCGCCTCCAAATCTCGTATCTGGATCAGGAAGAACTCTTTGCTCAACTCGGATAAACTCTCTCCTGGCGAGTCTGAGGAAGACCTAGCAGACTTCTTTCCACTCTTCTTCCCACTTTTCTTACCCTTCTTCTTACCTCCCTTCTTTTTTGGTGGCATACTGGTGTTTTTGGTATTTCACACCGCTTCACTTGGAAAATTTGATGTCCTCAAAACACCCCTATCGCCGTACGCGTTCGGAAACTCCCGTACGTACGCGATCGATTCTTCCGCGGATATCGCGACAATCACGCCGATCCCTCGGCGGCACACTGGCCGGAAGACTTTTCAGTCCTTTATAAATAGCCAAATTTAGAATTAACGACAGATAAATCACAAAACACGCCTGTACGACTGAATATAACGCAGGTTACCTTTAAAAAAATACTACAAGTACTACCCTTGTTGTCAAGGTATGACGTCACTCAAATAGAAACGTGTGAGTTTGTTTGTGTATGATAGTCTTTCCTCCATTCATAGAGGAAAGAAACAGCAAACTTCCAATTTAAAAATGTCTGCGCCCAGGGATGCTTGTGACAAAACAAGGTTGCGACAAAGATGACACATTTTAACCATAATATCGAAAACTGTTTTCTTTTCGTTTGACCGACAAATCCGTCATCACACGATAAATGTATTCCGACAGGTGACGCCACTATCGAAGCTGAGCAGAAATCCAGATTCACCTCACCCATTCACGATGACAGTCAAAGAGCGAAAGAAATGGAGGAAAGTACTCTACGAAGACCAAGGTGTTCCAGATAATTATGTAGATGACTCCTTTCTTGACGAAATGAAGAAAAATGGTAAAATGCATAAAATGAGGCTTTCCAAAATCGCAAATGTTAAATTTTCTAAGCCCAGCCAAGCCCGCCCCACCCACAGCGGACACCCCACAGTACTACTAACGGACTAAGGGGTCAACCATTTAAATTCATGGTAATGGCGAGAAATGACAAGCTAGACACCGAGAAACAAAATTAAATGCAAGTGGTGACAGTAAAAACATTTGACGCATTAAAAAAGTACAAATAAAAGACACTACATACAATAAATAAAAAAACTACACTGGTCCCTGGTCACACTCTAGAAATCCACTCGTCGTGCCATTCCCTCATGATTTAAAATGACTGACCCCCCTAAGTATGTTGGATTAGTCTGTCAACTGTGGGCTAAACCAACTCTTGAATATGTTTTAGAGGGGTGTATGTGCAATAACGATATATAATGTTATTTTCTTCATCATAGTGGTGATATTAAATTTAGCTCACAGTTGAATATTTTGAGACAGATTATTACAAATTACTGATGTACATGTAACTCTGACAGACGTATGTGATTACATCATCAAATTTGTGTACACAGGGCATATCCAAAAATCATGGCTTATTTGTTGCGTTATTTTGGTAATTTTGCACTTTAGTTAAATTTAACATTCTGGGATTTACAGAATATGTAGCAAACATGATTTTTTTCTGTAGTAAGAATATTTTCTATACAATCATAGCCCCTGTTCTGTAGTACAACCACAATTGAATATGTTAATCTTTTTATAATTTCTATGTTTCAGTGAATACTCGAACTTACAAGCTACAAAATGTGATCATTGAGTCTGGAGTTGTCTCACAGCAGCTCAGTAGGTAAGTAATGGTATATCATTGAGTCTTGAGTTGAGAATGGCATTAGACAGGTGATAAAGCCAAAATGGATGCTGCTGGCCACAAGTGGCTGGGTAGGTTGCCTTTATATACAAATATAAATCACACTGTGACTGCCCAAATAGTGGTTACTATGAACTGATTGTGTTTTGATCTTTGACACAGTATTGACTGTAACGTGAATGTGTGCATTCATTTTACTTTCATTATAAATTCCTTGGCAGTTATATGTGGAATAACCTTATTTTTACAATGAATCACCCCCAAAAAAGTAGTTTTCACAATTTTAATATGATAATTTTTATTTCTGTGTTTCATTTCAGTATTTGTTTGTTTATTGTTACATTTATTTACATGGAAGAAGGCACCCTATCTCCGCAGTTATTGTTCACTGTTGGGTCCCTCATGACAGTCTTTGGATATCTGTTACATGACATTGTAGATGGGCGACGCAATAGAAAAGACAGAACAAGTACGATATTCAATTTTTTCGGGTACTTGTCTATGGTTATTATGAGAATATTGCAAAGTTTGTGCATAGGCGGTACAGCAGGATTATTGACTGAATAGTTAACAGACATAACATAAGAGGTTGATGCAACTGTGTACTGTCTGAGTGTATTCTTTCCAATATCTTTGTAATAACCGTGTTGTATGAAACTGAACACGGTAACAATTAGTGAGACTTTCTCACAATGCACCTTGTTTTCAAAAATGTCTACCAGTTTGGAAATATCGCAGTCATTCGATATTTGAAATTCACTTGTGGTAGGATGCAGATATCCCGTGCAAAACCACAAAATTACGAGATAAGGTGACAGATATAATAATGAAATTTATGAGATAGCATTTTTTGATCATCATTTCAAACTAAAATGCTGGTTTTGGTGTATTTCTAAAATTAATAAAGAAATATATAAAAAGGTGAGATTTATGGAACAATGGTGTCATTGGAGGCAGTATAAACTAGTATAAATATAACCAACTTCAAAATCCTATTAAAACAAAAATTTTATCTCGCCTGTGTGCATATTAGAAATTCACTTTTAAAAGCGATTAACACTTTGACCCCCATAGAGTTTCCCTCAACAATGTTGGTGTATCTTTTTTGCACATTTTTATGTAGTTTTTTACATTTTTTTTTATCAATTTTGGATCAGGTAGACATAATTTTTCATTGTTTGCAGGTATTGATCAAAATGTTTGATAGACAAATCTGATGTATTTTTCTGGCAGCTACATTTGTTATGTTTTTCATATTGTAGGAATGGATGACATGAAGACAATCTGTTTATTCTTAGCTGTAAGCTTTGGTTTGTCACCAATATTGAAAAATTTAACAGATTCCATTAGTACGGATACTATATATGCCATGACGGTAAGTCACATGACTTAACCATTCATATATGTACCCATTCATATACGTGTTCAATTATTGTTTTACATTGTCATGTATGTACACTTAAAGTTGTTAAATGTATTGTATACTACACCAAGAAATAATCACACAGTTTCTGCCTAGAAACAGCGCCACATATATATAGTTGTTATTTTTTGGGTTTACTTTAGAAATGACAAACCTATGACATGTGTGATTTGCATAATGTGTGTATTTGTCTTGAATAGATGTGAACCTCACAATAAT